CCCTGAATCATCCTGGTTGCTCTTCTCTGTACTTTTTCTAGAGTCTCAACATCTTTTTTATAATGTGGTGAACAAAACTGGATGCAGTACTCTAGGTGTGGTCTTACTAAGGCTTTATAGAGTGGTATTAGTACTTCCCTTGATCTTGATTGTATCGCTCTGTTAATACAACTTAGGATTGCATTAGTTTTGGCTGCTGCTGCACACTGTTGCCTCATATTTAGCTGGTTGTACACTGACTCCAAGATCCCTCTCACAGTTACTGCTATTGAGCCTGGTTTCACCCAGTCTATATGTGTACTTTTGGTTTTTCTTGCCTAAGTGTAGGACTTTACTTTTCTCTACATTGAATTTCATTTTGTTAGATATGGCCCAGTGTTCTAGTCTGTCAAGATCCATCTGGATCTTGAGCCTATCTTCTTGGGTGTTAGCTATTCCTGCCAGCTTAGTATCATCTGCAAATTTGGTAAATTCCCCTTCTATTCCCTCATCTAAGTCGTTAATGAAGATATTGAAGAGTACTGGGCCGAAGACGTTCCTTGTGGCACCCCACTGCTTACTTCCTCCATGTAGACTTAGACCCATTAAGGACTACTCATTGAGTACGGTTTGCAAGTCAGTTGCGAGTCCATCTAGAGGTGATGCTATCTATTCCACTTTTTTCTAGCTTACTAAGAAGTAGGTTGTGGTCTACTTTGTCGAATACCTTGCTGAAATCTAAATATATTATGTCCACAGTATTTTGCTGGTCTACTAAATTAATCACTATGTTGAAGAATGAAGTAAGATTGGTTTGGCATGATCTGTTTTTAACAAACTGTGCTGACTGCTAGTTATTACGTTACTTGTTTCTAGATGTTGGCAGATCTGTTTTTTATTATCTTTTCCAGTATCTTCCCGGGTATTGACGTTAGGCTGATTGGTCTATAGTTTCCTGGGTCTGTTTTTTTTTCTCTTTTTTGAAGATGGGAACCACATCAACTCTTTTCCAGTCCTCTGGTAGTTCCCCAGTGTCCAGGATTTTTGAAAGATATGGTGCAGTGGTTCTGAGATGACCTCTGCCAGATCCTTTAAAACACTGGGATGTAATCCATCAGGCCCCGGTGATTTGTTTTTGTCAAGATCAGACAGGTGTTCTCTTACAAATTTTTTGCTTATTTTAACTTTTATTTCTGGTCTATCTTTTAAAGTTATGTTTTTGGTGGGTTGAGCTATAGTTTCTTTTTGCGTGAAGACCGATGCAAAGAATGAGTTAAGCAGTTCTGCTTTCTCTCTGTTGCCTGTTACTTCCTTGCCATCTTCTCTCTTTAGTGGACTGACTGTTTCCTTCATGTTTTTCTTGTTATTTATATGTTGGAAGAAACTTTTTTTAAATTATATTTGACTTTTATTGCAAGTCTTTGTTCGTTCTGAGCCTTTGCTATCCTGACTTCGTCTTTGCAGATTCTGGCTATCTGCTGATATTCTGCCTTAGTTGTATGTCCTTTTTTTTCATTTTTTGTACTTGTCCTTTTTTTCTTTCAATTTTCCAGAGAGATCTTTGTGCAGCCATGCTTGTTCCATCTTGGGTTTCTTGTTTTTCTTTCTCAGTGGTATTGTGCTGGTCTGGGCTTCTATGATCATACTTTTTAGAGTTTCTCAAGATTCTTGAATTGTTTTCCCCTTTAAGATTTTCATCCATGGAATCTTTCCCAAGTTCTCTCTGAGTTTATTGAAATCAGTTCTTTTAAAGTCCAAGACTCTGGTGTCACTATGTTCTGTTGCTTGTGTTTGTGTTATGTTGAATTCTAGAATGACATGGTCACTCTCACCCAAGGTTCTTGCAGTTTCAACTCCCTCTATCACTTCTTCTTTGTTTGTAAGAAGTAAGTCCAGTATGGCTGTCCCTCTAGTTTCACTCTCTACCTTTTGGACAACAAAGTTGTCAGCTAGGTTGGTTAGGAACTTATTTGATTTCTCACTTGGTGCAGAATTAGTTTTCCAATTGATACCAGGATAATTGAAGTCTCCCATTACTATTGTTGTGTGTTTCCTGCATATGTTTGTTAGTTGGCTGGAAAAAGGACATCTATATTTTCTGCTTGATTGGGTGGCCTATAATATACACCTATGGCCATGTCATTCTTTTTTCCTTTTATATTGACCCATATGCATTCTAGGAGGTTTTCATCTTTGGTTTTATGCATTACTGTAGCAATATAGTGGTCCTTTACATACAGTGCAACTCCACCTCCTCTTTTATGGGGTCTGTGTTTTTTTTTTTTGAATAGTTTGTATCCTTCTACCAGTATGTTCCAGTCATGGGTTTCATCCCACCAAGTTTCTGTTATTCCAACTATATCATATTTACCTTCATGTATTCGTAGTTCAAGTTCACCCTGTTTGTTCCCCAGACTTTGTGCATTTGTATATAGGCACTTGAGATCTTTATGTCTGACATTGTGTTTACTGTCTACATAACTTGTGTTGTGCCTGCCTGCCCCTACTTTCTTGCCACCTGTTTGATTAGTGCACATGGTATGGCACTCACTATTAAATGCTTGATTTTGATGGCATCAAGGTTGATAATCTTACCTGCACAAACATCTATTCTGCATGCACTGGTATCCTTATTAGTTTTAGGTTGCTGGGGACAGAAATGTTCTGAATCCATTAATTCTCTGTCCCCGCTGTTCAGTGTAAATGATTATCCAGGAAATCTGTGAATTTAATGCCAAGTAACTCAGTCTCTTTCTTTGATGGATGCAAACCATCTCTTTTGTACAGTTTTTCATTGGACCAGCTGCAGACATCATGACTAATAAAACCAAGGCCTTCCCTTTTACACCACTCCTTTAGCCACACATTAAACTCTGCTACACACTGCCCTTTCCCTTTTTGTTCCTTGTATACTGGTAGAACCTCTGAAAAGATAAGCCTACAGCCCATATTACTAAGTTCATACCCCAAGCTCTGGAAGTCTTTCTGAACAGAAAGTACATCCTTCTGGGATAGATTATTTGTACCAAGATGTATAATAGTATCAACACCACAGTCCTTGCTGGCATTCTTGACTATTTTAAGAATACGCTTCTTGTCTCTGCTAGCAGTAGCACCTGGTAGACACCTGACCTCTTTCAAAACCTCAGTATCCTTTCCTAAATTTACATCCCTTACAATTGAGTCCCCAACCAGAAGGTGGCTTCTCTTTTTGGATGTCTTGCTCTTCTTGTGTGACTAGTGTGTAATCCCTGATTCACACTTTCTCCTTTCCAAAGTAAGTTCTTTTTCTAGGACCATGAACCCCGGCTTACTTGAGTTATCATTATCACAACTACCTGACCTGTCACTCTAGTCCATACTGCCCTTTTCCTATAGGATCTTTGTGGTAGTGGGCGCTGGTAGCACAGCAGCTCAATAGATGACTGGATTGGGAACCTAATTTCTGCTTGGAGAGCACAGATTAGAGATTCTAGATAGATAATCTGTCCATGTAGACTGGTAATTTTTTTACAAACAGGACAGTATCCAAGTTTGAAAAGAGTACTGCGAAAGACAGCGGTAAAACAAGTATTACACTGAACTAAGCCGGTAATTTTGAAATAAAATAAAATCACAATCTCAAGCGCACTTACCCTAAATATCTTATTGGTATTCTTGGTTTATAGTTATGTGATTCACGTGCCGTTAAGTGCACGGGCCGCTATCTTTCTCCTTTCTACTCACCCTCTGCTTCCTTTACAAACAGCCACCAGCTCCTCACACAACCTCTGGGAATTTGAAATGCAATGGAAGCAATTCAAACTGCTTCTCTCTTTTCTACTCACCCTCTGCTTCCTTCACAAGCAGCCTTTTAAAAAGTCTGGTGGCTGCTTACTCAGATTACCACTTCTCCCACCCAGCTGATTACCACCTCTTCCACATAGCCAAGATGATGGCTATGTTTTTGGCACAAAGCTCTGTGGATCACAGCTGACTCATGCTCTGGCCAATTCTGTATAAAGGGTATTGGTGGGGAAGGATTAGGGACTGCTTCCTGAGACAGGTATATATAGCAACCAATTCTCTTCAATCAGCATCTTGAATATTATCATCTAAGAGACAGCTTTGTCCCCTATCTCCCTCTATATCCAGTGCATTTTAGAATGAAAATGAATATGTAGTCATGTGACTACAGAACTTATTATTATCCCTCGAATTAAATTTCTGTTCAACAATCATTTGGGACCCTTGACCAGTTCTTAAGTTGTGGGTGATCAAAATAAACTATATCACTTAGAAGCCAAACAAGACTTTTTATTACTTTATAACTCAATGCACAAGAATTAGTAAAACTTCCTTGCCAAAAACAAGCACTTAATATTCATGACTTCAAAATGTGTGCTTCTATATTTGTATTCTGAACATTATGCACAAACACATGTGCTTTCCTCAATGAAAAACAAATTCTATGCCACTAGGTATGGTGTAGGAAATGTTATCAAAATCTCAATTTCTTATAATTACATGCTGAATATTTTATATAGTGTGCAACCTAAATTTCTGTAAAGCCTAGGAGGCATATAGCACTATTTGCACAAGAGTAGTTTATCTACCTGAGTGAGCTGTTTGCAAATATCATAGCATAATTACATAGAATACACAGTGCTCTTAAAGAGCAGACAAATAAACAGGGCAGCATTGGGGAACTTTATTCAAATGCATGTGGACCCTGAGCTATTATTAAGCAGTATTTAATTTTTTACTAGTATTATTTCCAACTTCTAGATTGAATTGAATCAGGGGTCAATTGATTGGGGAGGGCTGTTTTATAGCATTTTAAAATTTTACCAAGATTAGTAATGCACAAATGCACTAATTAAAAAAATGAACAGGTTTTGCAACAATTTAATAATATTTATAGTTTTGTGCATTCCAGTAATGAGAACTTGGTGCCCATAAAATAAATAATAATGGAATGGTAGGCAATTTCAAACAAACAAAACAAATGCAAGAATCTAGATTAATGTTCAACTGATTACCTGATAATTTCATGAGAAGTTCAGATGCTGCTTTGACTGATATATCCTGTTGCAGTACATTTGCTGGCACTTCTTGTGGTTTGGGATTCTCCTTAGGAATATTTGGGGCAGATACTTCAGGTTCATGACTAAAACCATGACTGGCTTTAGACAACGTGGAGCTTGCACTGTCCTCATCTTTTGGTTCTTCTTTCACTTTAAATGTAGGTGTCAAGGGTTCTTTTTGATTTGCAGCTATTAGAAAAAGAGGAAACAGTGAAAGAAAATGCATGAATACAAAATCAGTTCACAAGAGGAAGCTAAACATGGGCAATCACTGGGAAATCAAGTTGAGAAATCCCAACATTTGATATATTTCTCCAATGTTTTTCTTTTCTTTCTTTTAAAAAAAGTATCTTCATTAAATTTCAAAAAAATTAAAATACGTATTTTTCTTAGAATTTCTTTCTTTGTCTAACTCATATAAACTAATCACATGGCTTTGGTTCCTGTGGCAAACTATATTAAAAGATAATTTGCCAACCTTGAGGGCAACAAAGAAAACAAGGAAATGTTGGTTTCAAATAACCATCTCAGATTTAAAATCCTAGACTTTTGAGCTTTGAACTGACCTTTTATAAAATGTAATGGAAAGTGATCAATATTATTCTGCAAAGTGAATTTGTTGTGTAAGCTGCCTTATAATATTTATAATTTTATATATACATTGTGTTGTAAATTTACAGAGACTGTAATGTACTCTGTCTTATTTGTTCTTATTCAGTTAATTTGAAATGTTTTGACTGTTTAAATGTTTAAAATGCTTCTAACAGCATTTGTTTTTAATTTTAAATGTAGTTGATTAGTTTATGATTCGATATGTTATGAAACACACTGCAGAAGATTCTCTATTTGTTGGCTCTATTGTCCCTTCCTTGACTCTACTGCCCCTACTTATAACCACAGTTGGAACTTCCATTGCTAAGAACGACAGTTGCTATATAAATTGTGTCCAATTTTACAACTTTTTTTGCTGCAGTTGTTAAACAAACCAGCACAGTTGATAAAAGAATCATGTGAATGAATGTTAAGCAAATCTAGATTTCCCTCACTGAATTTGCTTGTCAGAAGTCAACTGGGTAAGGTCATAAATGGTGATCATGTGATCCCACCCCCAATGGTAAAACCATCATAAATACATGGTGGTTGCCAAATACCTGAACTTTGATTGTGGATGGAAATGCTGCGATCATAAATATGAGGATTTGTCATAAGTTATGTTTTCAGTTCTGTGGAAACTTTGAACAGTTGTTAAACAAATGGTTATAAGTCAAAAATTCCTGGAATAATCCTTCCTTTCCAAGCAATGACCTGAATCTAAGGCAATTCGCTAACCCAGGGGTGTCAATCTCAAGGCCCTCTAGCTAGACCCGGCCCACGGGCCACATTGGAAACAGCGAGGGGATTCGCTGCAGTGCATGTGCCAGCAAAAATGGATGTTGGAAGGGCTGCAAGCAGTCTTCCCAAGCTCCATTTTCGCTGACAGAGGGTTGCAGGAAACCACTGCAGCTGGAAACGGAGCTTGGGAGCCCATTTTCATTGGCAGAGCACTTGGACCATCACAGGCACCCTTGGTATGAGTGACGTCAAGCTGGCCAGGCCTACCCTGTCCCCCTGACGTCAAACAACCCTGATGCGGTCCTCAATAAAATAGAGTTTGACACCCCTGTTCTAACATATATAGATGTTAGAAAAAGCTGCTCTGGAACTGATAATGGTTCATTACCATGAAATTCATTCAATTTACAATTTTGAGAGCTTTTTATACATAACTCCAAGCTAACTAGCTAACTCTACCCTGAACAGGGACTACAGGGTCATAAAAAGTGAGTGTGTGCGTGCGCGCACGTGCATGTATACATATTAGCTTTTTGTGTGAGTGCTTGGAACTTTTATGAACTTTCATGACTGAAGATCCCTAATACTAACCACAATAAATCCATATAAATAAAATAAAATAGAGCTCTATACAGGTTATTCTTACACAAAAATAACACACTGAAATAATTTGCCAATTTTTCTTGTCATCCATTCCTGACATTCTTACAAAAATAATAAAAAGCCTTTCTACTCTTTTGTCCAGCAGAACAAAAGTAACATTTTGTGCTGATTGATAGCAGTAAATATATCTTAGATGTTATAGCTGAAATACTTTAAAAGGCATTTATGACCATCTCATTCAACACATCTCTATTCAATAAATTAAAAGAGGTGTCCAGCTCATAAGAATCTTCAATATCGGCACTCAAGCTCAATTAAGTTAGTCGTATTACCATACCTATAGCATGGATATAACTGATGATTTTCAGCTTCCAATACTTGAATATAGATTTAATAGACATTTATAGAAGAAAAAAGCAGTATTTCAACATCTGGTCTTTTATAAAGTTATGAACCTCACATGATGGCTATGCTTATAATTGCCTTCAGAGTCCCAATTACTCACAAAACTGACAGAACACATACATCCTTTGGGACAAGAACTATCAATGACCCATCTGTGGATTCCTCAAACAATGCCTTCAGGGCAGTCTAAACAGACTGTCCCAATCAGACTTGGCCCTGGCATATTTTCTTTTTCATTTCTTTAATTGTCCTTGCCATTTTGCTCATTTGCAGAGCAGTCTGAAGTGTATTGATCTGGGCCAAAGCAAGTACTTTTCTGCAAAAAGCTGACAGAGAACTATCCTCAGAGTCTTTCTCCTAACTCATATTTCTGTTTGTTCATTTTATAATAAATAGAAATGTTTCCTTTAAAACATTGCTAGTAAATCACTCAAGTCCACTAAATAAAACATAGTTTTATGGAAGGGATCTATTTTAAGTATTGCCCTGTTGGTTCAATGCATTCCATAAGTTATTTTAAATGCACATTGTTCTGATCGATGGCTTTAATTTCTTTCTTAACATAACATCTTTCCCTTATGTGGCACTGACACATCTACCAAGTTTAGATTTTCATCTAAGAGATGTATCTCACTCCTTCAGTGACTTTATAGCATGTTGCTAGGTAACAGTGCACACAAGTCAAGTTTGAGGACCTTTTTGTTAAAGACACTATAAAATAAATGCTTCGGTCCTTTTTGCATAAAAGATCTCATCTGGGTCCTTAGTATTTCTGTTTGCTAAACACTACAGAACTGCTTATCAATTTCTGAATTAAAAAAACGGGCATCAAAAGAGAAGAAGCATTTACTTTTTGGTCCCTCTTTTTCTCTCTCCGTACAAAACTTGGTTTTGCATCTATTTCAAACTATTTTAATCCATTTAAGGCACAACCTATTATTATATATTTAATTTATATGAACTTAAAACAATATAATCTAAACTATTGGGTTAGTATGACAAAGAAGATAAAAATTGATTATAGGTATAAGTCTGGCTTTAAAAAAGACCATCATCTTAAGAGAAAACATTTCCCTTTCTTTCAAATCTGTATGCTTTAAAAAATGAAATTATCAACTCTAATATATATTTATAATAGTTTTTCTCTAAGTAGATTTCACTATGGAATTTACTCTTTGCAGGCATGTACCTTGAAAAGGCTAGAATAAAACATTTCCTTAATTCCATCATTTTCATGTTTCTCAGAACTGCATTCATTCAGTTTCTTTTATTCTTGGTTTTTCTTTCCACCCTTCCATTTTATATTTATTCCACCCCAGAATAAAAGGATTAAGAGCATATTGAAAGGCTCAAACAAATTCCTATGTGATCACCACTACCCTGTATACTTGGCAGTTACTGGGGAAAAGGGCCTTCCTAGAATGTTGAGGAATGCTTTCACTACAAAGGTTAGCAAAGCACCTACTCAGATGTCATTTTTCAAACATCAGGCAAGTAGTTTGGTAAGATCCTGTAAATCAGTTTAAGCTGTTTCATTTTGCAAGTTGCTTCTCTTATATATTTTCTGTTTTCATTGCATTTTTGAAGTGCTTTAAGCCACCAAAATATTTTAAATGATCAGGTTATAAATACAGAACAGAACAATCTTAACAAGGCAAGGAAGAAAACACTGGCCTCTTCAGCCAAGCAAATTGGAGAAAGCTGTTCACAGTGAAGACTACTAGTTACCCATGTTTAGCAGTAGCCCATAGAAGTAGAAGAGCTTAGATACAACATTTCCTTAAGTCTATCCTGGAATGTCCATTTTTCCTATTACTGCTGAAAGTGTTGCAATTTCTTTCCCCTTGGTCATAAGAAGAGTCATGAAAATACTTCTTATAACCATCACTTTATTCTGCAATTGGGGGAGAAAAAGGAAGATATCCCATACTGTAACTCCCTGAGAATTTTTTTCTCATCCTGAGGACATAAAACTGCATTTTAAAGTGAATTAATAGATATAAAATATCAGTGAGGAATTACCAAGGAAAGGGTGGTATACATTCTGCTGATCCTCCAGTTCATATAGCGCTCTCATTTACTGAGATGCAACGCACATAGGTGATCAATTAATGTCCATTGAAAAGGGCGCTGTCAATCTCTAAAAGGCTGAAGAGCTACAGATCACACTTCCCAAACATATTTTCTCTATAGCAGCTTCTAAAAAATTTTCAGCCTTAAATTACAGTAAAGTAGCTGCCAGATTTTTATTTTTTCTTTCTTTAATAAATGTTGAGTGAGAAAATAGTAAGGAAAAAGATGACCATGAGGGCACAGAGAACATTATAGCTTTTTTTTAAAGTAACAGAAATGTCAAGTAAAAGTTTTGAATGTGTTAAGAAACAATATATGCATCTTACTAAGTAACAGCGTTCTAATGACAGATATGCTGTATGCCATCTACGATACCTTGACTAGTGAGCGTGTCCAGTGATCTTTCTGGTTATAGCTTCAGGATTCATCTAAGATTATTAGTGTAAGTGCTACTGCGTTGTTATAACAATCAAGAATAAAACTATATGTTTTAAAAAATGCTGATTCAAAACCTAGAATCTGTCCACTGATTCATTTCCAAAGCAGTATTACAGAGCAACCTGAGTCTAAGTAGCCAGCGTGATTAGACGTTGTCTGAACCCAGTTGAAATTGTACTACTGTACATCATAACCTCAGTAATTTCTGCAACCAGATTCATTGGGAGATTAGGAAATAGGTTTTTTTAGAGTTGTGTTTTGATAAAAGTCAGTTCCCAATGTCAAAGAGCTTTGCAGGAAACAAAGCAGTTCAGTAATGTCTGAGTATTTCATGAAGATCTGTGGTCGTTTTTTTTCTGGGTTGTTGTTTATGTTTAGCCTTAATGGGACTTCTGTTTCTTGGCAGCATTCTACAGTACTGAAAAGCATGCGCTTATTGGAGGAATTGTGTCTAATGAGTTTTAGCTGGGAATGCAAGTAATTCCCAGTATCGCATTAAAAAAGCTTTTATGTTTTATTAAGTTTGACAAAGCCTGGGTCAGAACAAGTTGCTTCAAACTGGACAAGTCTATGCTCCCATTGTAATATGTGCTTTTACATGTAAAAAATTAGGAGTAGATAAAAGTCAATTAAAGGTTAATCAACCAGTTTCAGAAGTGAGTTAGTTCAACTTTCAACGCAGAGGAGCCAGGGCAACAAATGTTGCAGAGTTTCCTTTGCAACTGTAGGGTAAAGTAGTTTCCTACTGGTAGGAACTTTTGTTTTATTCTGTTTCTAAGTTATCCCCTTTTCAAAAGCCAAGGTATTATGGTGCCTTGACTTCTTCCTACCCTTCTCTGCCAGAGGAATATATTTTGCTATAAATTTCTTTTTTTAAAAAATGAAAATGGGCAAAGACAGCTGAGATTTATTGTCAAAAATCGGAACAGGGATGCAAAAACAGTCACTTCAGGGGATGAACAGTGAACACACTGAGGTTCACTTCTCAATCATCAAATATTTGACTGAAGTGTTTAATAAAGCAATTTGCATACATTCCTATATGAAACTGCCCTACTTGTTCTTCTTGGAGTATTACTGAGATTTAAATATACCCATTCTGTGAATGTTGTACTTCTTCAAATGTTATGATAAAATTATTCGCATTATAAGCTTAAGTGCTTTTAGATGCAATCCACAGTGTAGAGAACCTTTTGGGCACAAGTGTCCACAGCTACCAAAATAATTATATTAGTTGATAGAATCAATCGTAGACATCCATTTACCAAATAATGAACTATACACTCCTAAGATACTCTCTCCTAGTGCTGTGGGACACTGGTGGCATCCAAAGGCAATCCTGAAAATAATTATGTATGCATAATCCATATTTTCATTATGCATTTAAATGCATTATTTTGAGAGAAAACAGCATTTAAGATATGGGTGTCCAACGTTTTGGCTTACCTGGATCACATTGAATGAAGAGTAACTTGTTCGGGTTGCATATAAAATGCACAATATAGTTTTATACTATAAAATCACATAATAATATTAAAGGTTTATGGGGCCACATTACTAGCTGTCTAAGCTGCATGACGCCCCCAGACTGTGGGTTGACACAGCTGATTTAAGATGCCTGGAAATATATTTTAATATCCTGAAAAGACTCTTATTTTCATGGCGTAAAAAAGCATAATAAAATGGCCCAACCTAGGGAGAAAAAAGTTTGGTTTACCTGAAAGCTTCATGAGAAAATCTGAAGCCATCTTGACTGATATATCCTGACTGAAAAGTGCTGATGCTGTATTGGTCACAAAGTCAATGGGGTCTTTTAGCTTTGTACTGTTGGCAATTCTGTCGACAACATTGAGGGCTAAAGAGGGGCTAGGGGCACTGCTGTCATCTTTGGGTTCTTCTTTGACTAGCAGAGGTGGGATGGTAGTTCCCACCTGCCCAAGTGCATCAGGAGATCTAGAGGCAGCAGTAGTTCCTACATGGTCTGTTCCTCCATCCATCTCCTGACCCATTCTGGAATTGTCACTCAGTAGTGGTGAGATCTTGACATCCATTTCTGGAATTTCTTCCTTCACTTTGGCTTCTGTCCTCAGAAAGTGTTGGTGGCAACGCATGTGGAGTTTCAGACTGAAATGGCGAGAGGAAGTAAATGGACATAGTTGGCACTGAAATGTCTCTCCACGGTCCTGGTGTTGGTGAACCTAATTCAGTAATAACAACAACAGGAATAATAGTATATCTCTCAAATAAATACAAATCCCTTGTTAAGTTCATAGAGATCTGCAAATGAATTTTATAGATAGAATCTTATAAGGGCTGTGAGAAGTTAGAAAAAGAGTCAGTAGAAGAAATGTATATTCAGTAAACTGACATTCTAATATATTCTGTATTGCAATTCTCATAAGATTCAATTGACAAAGTCATTGATAGGAGATTATGGGAGTTATCATCTAAGATACATATATAGGGCATCAGACTACCCTGTTTCTCCAACAATATGGCCTCCCCCAATAGGAAGTCCCAGCATGTTTTATAGGCATGAAATGAAATTAAGCCCCTCCCCCCAAATTAAGGCCTATATTAAAACATGCAAAATGGGGGGAATGGTGGGGGGGCTTTCCGTTAGGAAGTACTTTTGTTGCACACCCGGATATGGTGCTGCCTGTGTTGACCCTGATACGAAGTGCCCCACCAATGCTGAGGTCAACATCCAAGCCATTGCCGCCCGCCTGCCCGAAGATGCAAGGGGGGGGGGAATTAAGTCACCCCTAAAAAGACGGCCTAGCCATTTTTTCGGGGCTCAAAAAAAGAAAAAAGACCGGCCTTATTATATGAGAAACACAGTAGTTACCACTTACTGATTTATCATCTCCCTTCTTCCTGCCATGATTTTTCTTTCTTATAATGTTCTGTATATTTCATTTGAGGATCTCAATAATTTTAACAGAGAGAGTCAGCATACAGAACTCAAAGTGGCTGTCCTTCTATATACAAGAATTTAATGAAGAATATTTGGCTATATGAATATTTCTCCAGGAGTCACTGAATAAAAATAATCAAATTATTAAACACCGGGCTGCAAAGCTCATTGATTCCCAAGTTATATCCAAAAACAAGTATTTCCTAGGATGTATATACAGTATATGCCTATGTCCGTGTACACACATAGACACACACACGCATTTAAAGACAAATTATTTGATTATGGCTAAAAATTAACAAGTATTTTTTCAAAGATAGTAGTTAGGTCAGTACTTTTATGATACTTTTACATCATAGAGTTGGAAAGGCAATTTAGATACCTATCTACCCTCTGCTTGAACAAATCCAACAAAGTGAAACCCAATATCTCTCAAATCTTCTGCTAGATAAAATGAATTTATAACAATTATGTTAATTATAAAAAATATGCTTTCATTAAGAGTTGCTTTAAAAACCCCAACAATCTTAAATGCCAGAATTTACCAGCCTTACCTTCATATGTGACTTCAAATTGTCTTTCCGTGCACAACGAAATGGACACAAGGGACACTGATGACTTTTTAAGCCAGTATGGATCACCATGTGCCGTTTCCAGTAGCTCTTCCTTTTTATAACCAAGCCGCAGATCGGACATTGGAAAGGTTTTCCACTTTCTTCTTCTGAGGCTTAGAAAAAAAGGAGGGAATTTATTTCCATTTTGTAGTTTTTCAATGTTATGAAACACTGAGGTGTTTTTTTTTTCTTCCTTTACCTGGATACGGAACTTTGAAACCACAACTTTACACATATTGTAATCTTTTAAATCTTATTAAATGCAATGGACTTTTAATCCCCATTTTTCTGACATGGAAATCAAATGATCCAACCCCCCCCCCCCCATAACCCCAATACTAAATGATACAGGACAGGGCCCAAACATACTTTGGACAACCAGCAGAGGATGCTACTGTTCTTCACCTAATCTTATAATTCACAGCTCATTTGTCTTGCACTATGTACCATTACAAAAGTGCCTTTTTTTCATTTTATTTATGACATACCAAGAAACAATACAGCAACATCATTAGGTACCCCCAAATCTGACTTAAGATCAGAGGATGATATATTCCACTCCTAGTATTGTGAGATTCCAAAATCACTCTTAATGACTGGTTCTGTTCTAAGAAAATCTTAGAAAAATCTAAGGCTTCAATTTAACTTCAGATAAAGTGACAATATTTAGTTTTTGTTCAACTGTTTTATCATTGCAGTAATGATAGAAAAATTAACTTGAGCAACCCAACCCAACCCAACCCAACCCAACAATCTGCTCTCTTTATATGTAGATAAATATAAATAATTTATTTTAGAGTAACTTAAGCAAGCTAAATTTAGCATCTCTAGCTAAAGAATACATAAAGTGCTGCTTCTTTGTCATGGACAAAGGTGGTAAAATCATCAACGAAAATTAATATCAGACGAATCTTTCCTCCTTCTCATTTTTGGTCTGTTGAAAATCTAGAATAGAATCCTGCAAGCAGAGCAGAAGATTCACTTCACCCAAATTAAGAATTCAATTTTACATTTTAATGTAATGAAGCCTCACCCAACACTAGTTTCTGCAACAATGCTTACAGTGTCAAGCTTAACCCAGAACAGTGTTCTATGTACTTCCTGGGTAACTTAAAAGTCCTTTGAATATATTCCAAGAAAACTAAAATGAAATCTCTCTCTCTAATTTATTACAAAGCACAAGTGGAAAGGCAAAAGAAAACTATGATCTGCCTTTTTAAGCTCAGGTCAAATTGTGATTTTCAACCATATTTTGCCTAATACATCACAAATGGACTAAATTAATTAGTGTGTAATACTAATCTAGATTGTAATATAAGCAAGAGAAGCCATAGCACCTAACTGCTTGTATTTAAAAGTAAACCCCAATGTAATCTGTTTTAGACATTGCATGTGTGAACCCACCTGTTATGAAACAGTAATGAGAATGTTGATATATTTATTATTTTATTTTATTTTATTTGTCAATTGTTTACAAGATAATAAGTATAAGTGTATACATAATTATGAATACATGAAATGGGTACATATAAGAAAAATAAAAGAAACAATAGGACAGGGACGGTAGGCACGTTGGTGCGCTTATGCACGCCCCCTAGAGACCTCTTAGGAAAGAGGTGAGGTCAATAGTAGACAGTCTAAGGTTAAAGTTTTTGGGGTTTGGGGAAGAAACTACAGAGTTGGGTAGAGTATTCCAGACATTGATCACTCTGTTGCTGAAGTCGTATTTCCTGCAATCAAGCTTGGTGCGGTTAACCTTGAGTTTGTATCTGTTGTGTGCTCTTGTGTTGTTATGGTTGAAGCAGAAGTATTCATTGACAGATAAGTCATTGCAATGTATGATTTTATATACCATGCTTAAATCAGACCGAAGACGGCGTAATTCAAGGTTTTCTAGGTCTAGAATTTCAAGTCTGGTGGCATAAGGTATTCTACAACGAGTAGAGGAGTGGAGAACTCTTCTTGTGAAATATTTCTGGACTTTCTCAATTGTGCTAATATCAGATACGTAATGTGGGTTCCAGACTGATGAGCTGTATTCGAGTATTGGTCTAGCAAATGTTTTGTATGCTCTAGTTAGTAGTGTGATATTACCAGAAAAAAAGCTACGTAGGATTAGGTTAACAACTCTTAATGCCTTTTTGGCTATGTAGTTGCAGTGGGCTCTAGCACTTAGATCATTAGAGGTGAGTATTCCAAGGTCCTTTATAGAGCTTGGATCATCAAGATCTTGACTATTCAGCTTGTATTTTATTTTCTGATTTTTTTTTGCCAATATGTAAGACAGAGCATTTATTTGTTGAGATTTGAAGTTGCCATTTGTTTGACCATTCTGATACATAGTCAAGATCTTTTTGAAGGGTAGCAGTATTGTCTGTGGTATTGAACAGCTTTACATCATCAGTGAAAAGAACGCAGTTGCTCTTAATATGATCACAGAGGTCATTTAGGTAGAGTATGAAGAGAGTTGGTCCTAGAACACTGCCTTGGGGGACACCACTATTGACAGGTACAGAATTTGATAGGACGCTCCCAATTTTGACCATTTGTTGTCTGTTTGACAGGAATGCTTCTATCCAGTTATGCAGTTGTCCAGAGATACCATAGGATTTTATTTTTAGTAGTAGTTTGTCGTGTACCACTGAATCAAAGGCTTTACAGAAGTCTATGTAGATTGCATCTATTGTTTTGCCCTGATCGAGTTGTGTAGTCCATATGTTTTTGCAGTGTAAGAGTTGCAGATTACAGGATAGTTTTTTTCTGAAACCAAATTGTTTATTGGAGAGTAGGTTGTTTGTCTCTAAATGGAGGATGATGGATTGGTTAATAATTGATTCCATGACTTTACAGGTGACGCAGCATAAGGAGATTGGTCTGTAATTTTCAACTAGGCTGAGGTCTCCCTTCTTGAAGATGGGGATGACTGTGGCTTGTGACCATAGTTTTGGCAAGGAGCTGGTCCTGAAAGATTTTTCAAAGATTATGCTTAGAGGTTTGGCTATGGCAGTGGGAGCTTTTTTAAGAAGTAGGCACATATTCCATCCGGTCCAATAGATAAGAGATGGTTTTAGATTGCGAAGTGCTTTTTCAACATTGTCTTCTGTAAAATCGATATGTATTAGATCATTGTAGTTATCTGTGGTTCGGCTAGGAAATACTGGGCATGATCCATTGCTGTTTACAAATACTGAGCCAAAAAATGTGTTAAAGATGTTGGCTTTAATGGTGTCATCGTTGCAGTCTTTACCATTAGGTCCTATCAGGGGTGGGATGGACCTTGAATCTTTTAGCTTGTTGTTTACAAAATTGTAAAAAGCACTGGTGGAATTGGTGCTTAGAAGGTTTTCCTCTTGTTTAATATGATAATTGGTGCATTCGGTTTTTATCTGGTGGCATAAATTTTTGTATCGGCTTTTGAAATTGGCAACGTGACCAGATTTGTTTTTCCGCCAGAGTGATCTCTTTTTGATTGAAGTTTCCTTATTGTTATGGGCAATCTTTTTTTTGTTTTGTTTTGGGAGTTGTTGTTGGTACATATAGTTTGATAACTCTTTTGACTTCAAGTAAAAATATGTTGTATTGATCTCTAATATAGTCATCATGAAAACATCAAATTCATATGGAATGTTCACTGTTCTTGCTCTGAGTTGTTATAAAATTTGGGTGTGAATTTATGCTGTAAGATTTTGCCAAGTCTTGTCGGGGGGGGGGGTTATGCCATTGTGTAATATTGTAGCATAGTCTCTGGGGCCAGAAAGAGTTGCTGATTTATGCATCAATTAACCATTTAATTAGGCATGTTCAAATTACATGAATCAAAATAAAAAACAGAAGAAACAGTTTCCACTCTTTTTTCAATAGGTTGATTTGTATCTGATTATGATAATTTATTTCTAAATCTATTTCTACAAATAGAACCTATCTATTAAGTTTTGCCTTTATATACGAGGCTATTAGATACCGTTGCTGCAAACGTTATCAAGGCAAGGGATAGTTTTGAAACTAGATGAAAAAGCGTAATAAGTTTATGAGATAATCATCAGGTTAAGTCTTGGCATCTAAAGAGATGTGAGGATTTTGCCCACTGCATTGACATAATTAACCATCTGACATTACACTGCACATTTCTAGTTCTGTTATGTTTAAGTTTACAATGTTACTGTAGCAACAGAAAATATTTCTGTAACTGCTGAAAGGATATCGGATTATCTTCAAAACTGCCAAAATCAGTGACATACTCTCAGAATATTAAAATCCAATGCCTAATGCATTCATCAGCTGTTGGTCTTATTTGAAAAAGTAAAATGTTACTAGTTCTAGTGTTCTGGAATCAATATCAATTAACACTTAGACCAGGGGTATGAAACTTACATCATCATGGCGGCGTCAAGTGACGTATCGTGACTTTTTTCCCCTTTCCTAAATCAGGTAGGGATGTGGCCAGTGCATGAAGCATCCATGCCACAGGCCACGAGTTTGACAGCCCTGAGCTTAGACTTATATATGGCTTTACAGTGCTTTATTCACTCTTTCCCCAGGAGATGAAGGCAGCACATAGTCGCCATTTATTCCAACAATAAACTTATAAGAAAGAATGAAAACAGAATGATTATTATTCCAAAGAGAAGGAGTTACCTCATGTTGAAAGGGAACCTTAAGATGAACTCTCATTGCAAGGAACATCTATTAAAAGCATGGGCTTGTAGTTGGAGGTCACTCTATTTTCTGCTCATTAAAGATCATGGATATATGTGTCTTTTTTTCCAGCACTATGTTATTCATGTATATTTGGAGGCCCAAAGAGATTCTCTGGGATTTACTACTGAGTAAATGAATGTAAAGAACCAGGGTTAATACATTTAGGCATTTCATTTGATTTTAAATGCGCACTTTGGAGAGTGAGAACAGACAATCTTCAACTTACAACCATATTTGAGTCCACAATTTCTGTTGCTAAGCAAGGCAGTTGTTAAGTGAGTTTTGTCCCATTTTATGATATTTCTTACCACAGTTGTTAAGTGAATCACTGCAGCTGCTTAGTTAGTAATGTAGTTGTTAAGCGAATCTTGTTTCCTCATTCACTTTGCTTGTCAGAAGGTCACAAAAGGTGATC